TGGCCTTGGATTCTGCCTTGGAGAAATGTAGGGATTAGACCTGATGGTCTGTAAGATTCCTTTTAGATTTGAACTTCAATGAGACAATGGGTCTTGGAGGTATATTTACAACTAGCCCACCCTTTCCTCCTCCACAACCCTCAGCCATCATTCTCATCAGCTGTCCCTTAACTTTTGATCTCCAGCCCTTCCCTACTGGGTCTTAGAAATGCTAAAGGGAACTTCTGACATTTTCAATTCCTGGACCTGAGCGCCCCCTAGGCACACAGAGAAAAATTGTAGCTCTGGGAGAAGACGGTGTCTCACTATGGTCAGCACCAAACCCTTGCACTTCCCTGTATGTACTCTGAGGCAAGAACACTGGGGCAGGGAGGGAGCTAGGAAGGACAAGAGGGAGTGGGTGGCAAGCTCTGTCATCAACCACACATTGCAGGGGCTCTGTGCGGCTGTCCCCCTAACAACAGGTACATTCAGAATGGAAGGAGGTGAGCTAGAGGTGGAGCAGACCCTGCCCCGTGGAAAGAAGTCAGGGGCCACATAGTGAATGTATCAGGCTAAATAGTAGTTACTGGAAAAATCGTACTGTTCAACTAAATCCATTCGCAGAAAATGATCCAAAGGTTACTAAATAAACATCAATTATTTGTATTGCTTACGTTGCCTTCCTGTTCCTATAAATATCATGCATGCATATCACTGGATTTCATCTTTGTGTATTTACCTTTTTTGCTGCTTTTCTTATTTCTGGTACTGTTTTGTATACATACCTCCCACACTCACAGTCCACATAAATATTACCTTAAACCTTTTGTAATATGGCTAAACCATAGTGAGGCACTTATTGAGAAGAAAATTTATGGCTGTGTATATGTATGTGGTATTAAGTGTTCACTGTGTATGTTTGTGGGTGTGTATGTTTGGGATGTATGTATTATATGTGATAGTATGTGTCTGCTGTGTGTGTGTGTCTTGGTATGTATATGTGGTATATGTTCATGTGTGTGGTATGGTATGTGTATTTGTGTGTATATGTTTGTGGCATATGTATTTGTGTCTGTATGTGTGTACATGGTGTGTGTATGTATGTGAATGTCTCTGTGTTTGTGTGTGGTGAAGTGTGTGGAGGGTTTTGTGATGGGTGTGGTGTGTATGTGTGTCTCTGTGTGTTTGTATGTGTGGTTTGTAGTGTGTATGTGTCTGTGTGTGTATGTGGTGAATCTCTGTGTGTGGAGGTGTGTGTGGTATGTATGTCTATGTGTGTGTTGTGTACATCTGTGTGTACATATGTGTGTATATTTGTGGTGCATATGTTTCTGTGTGTGATATGTGGTGTGTATGTTTGTGTCCCTCCGTGTGTGTATGTTTGTGTTTCTGTGCTTGTGTGTGTGTTCACTCCTGTATGGGGACTTCAGTCCCACAGGTCTTGGTCCTGGACCCTTCTCTCAGACCTCAGCATTTGTGCCAGAATACAGATACAGAGACTTCCTAGGCACTCACATGGACTGCGGTTTGTGTCCGGAGAGAGTGGAGAAAGCATGTCCTATTGCAGGTGTTTATAAGCCTGCACAGTCGTGTGCCTGGGTGTGTGATATGCCAACTGCTTCTGCAGAGGACAGGTGTCTGCAGTTATCAGCAGAGACAGGACCCTCAGGAAGCAATTACCACAGGCACCAGGCTGCTTGAATTCCTGGGGGTCTGTTTCTCCTCTAAGATCATACTTTCATTCTCTATTAAAAGAAAAAAAAAAGGCAAAAATAAAAATCTCTTGGATGAATCAGTCAGTCATTGTTATTAGGCCCTTCCATCTCGACATCCTCTGATCCTAGAAGCACTCAAATCCACCAAATGGCTTTTCCCCTATATTCTGGCTTCAGTTCTCTGTGGGACTTGCACACACAGCTCCAACTCCGTCCACCACATGGGCACCTCTTTTGTGTCTCTCTCATCATTGTCGGCCTTCTGCCTTCCTGACCTGGATCAGACCCAGAAGGTGAAGAAGACTGAGGCCACAGTATCTACGTTTAATTCTCTGTTTAAATCCCTGATAATTAATTCCTCTAATGTTCATTGAGTAGGTGTGGCCACATGCTGGGTTAGGCATGCAAGGTACAGTGATGGGTAGAATAATATGGTAGTTAAGAGCGAGGGCTCCAGAATAATATAGAACCTGTTTACCTCCCATCCTCACCTCTTAATCTGTGACCTTTGACAAAGCAACTTCCTTAAGGCTCTGCTGCCTTATTTGTGAAATAAGTACATACCTCACTGGATGGCTGTGAGGTTAACCTGGCATGAAGTACATAGAAGAGTGCCTGGAATGCAATAGTCCACACGTTAGCTCTTGTGTGGACTGGCTCACAGACCTTCATTCCAGCCTCCCAGGTAAAGGGAGACGTTGGGAAGCCAAGCACCATGTTTTCTGGATGTCTTTGCAGTCAGAGTTCTAGATGCAAACTGCCTTCCTTCATGTAGACACACTCAGCATAAGAAGTGCAAGGCATAATCTGCTCCCTTTTGTGATATGTGAAATAAAATGGAGTCACTTATGTCAAGGGGTCTTAAAATGGAGCTGGGAGGTTATTAAGGAGGTGAACCTTATGCATGTCCTCACTGGGTGGAACCATGAAGGTTTGAACTGAAACCACGAAAATTCCAAGGACTCTATAAGAACACCTGAAAACTGTCATAGTAACAAACTTCTACCTTCCTCTAGTGATAGCCTTAGCATGAAATCATGATTAGCCAAGACTAGCTTCCACCTCCAACTCCAATTAAGACTTTGTAATGCAGACCTCCCATCTTTGCCTTTATTTTGTTTTTATTTATTTTTTGCTTTGAATATCCAGCTTCTAATACTTGTTTCTTTAAAAAAATTTTTAAAAAATTTTAAATAGTTGATTTACAATATTGTGTTAGTTTCAAGTGTACACACAGTGATTCAGTTATATATATATATATATATATATATATATATATATATAAATACATATATAAATATATATCTTTTTCAGATTCTTTTCCCTTATAGGTTATTATAAAATACTGAGTATAGTTCCTGGTGCTATACAGAAGGCCCTTGTTGGTTATCTATTTTAGTGTGTATATGTTAATCCCAAACTCCTAATTTATCACCCCTCTCCCTTTCCCCTTTGGTAACCATAAGTTTGATTTCTATGTCTGTTGTTCTAGTTCTGTTTCATATATAAGTTCATTTGTATCTTTTTTTTTTTAGATTCCACATATAAGCAATATCATGTGATATCTGTCTTTGCCTGGCTTACTTCACTTAGTATGATAATCTCTAGGTCATTCCATGTTGCTGCAAATGGCATTATTTCATTCTATTTTTATGGCTGAATAATAATTCATTGCATATATATGTATACACACACACACACACACACACACACACACACCCCACACATCTTCTTTATCCTTTCATCTGTCAATGGACATTTAGATTGCTTCCATGTCTTGGCTGTTCTGTTCTATTCTATTCTATTCTGTTCTCCATACTGTTCTCCATAGTGGCTATACCAATTTATATTCCCACCAACAGTGTAGGAGGGTTCCTCTTTCACCACATCCTCTCCAGCATTTATTATTTGTAGACTTTTTGATGATGGCCATTCTGACTGGAGTGAGGTGATACCTCACAGTAGTTTTGATTTGCATTACTAATAATTAGCGATGTTGAGCATCTTTTCATGTGCCTTTTGGCCACCTGTATGTCTTCTTTGGAGAAATGTCTATTTAGATCTTCTGCCCTTCTTTGCCTTTAAAAGCCCCTGAACTTTACTCAGTGTCCCTACTAGGGACACTGGGTTGTTACCAAAATCTGTGTGCCCGAATTGCAATTCTTTGATCCTAAATAATCAGGCTTTTTGCTTGATTATTGTCTCTGAGGTTTATTTACGTTGACCCTCTTTTAGCCGTTTTTGCTGGCAACCAAAGTTGTGGAAATGTGAGGGTTTTCTGCAGTGGTGCTCTGGAGTCCATTTTCCAGCTTCTTGGGCATTGAGAGGCAGGGACTGTAGCAGAGGTAGCTTCAGGATTCTAGCACAGCTCCCGAGGTGCCCCAGAGGTGGTAACTCCCCTGACTGGTCATTTCTGTGTTGTTTTGGAAGCTGTTTCTGGAGCCCCAGCTTAGAATCGGCTCCTTCAACCCTTCTACTAACTTTGCAAGCACATTATTCCTTTATAAACTCCATTTCCAATCATTAAATTAAATCCTATTTAATATAAATAAAGCAATTTCTATTTCATGCCCTGAATTCTGATGGATACAACTATTATTATTTGTATGTGTTATTAATATTAATATATTATTATATTATCTTGTCATAAATAATATATCATTATATACTATGCACATTAATATAGCATTTGTATATATTAAATAATATTAAAATAATAACAGCTACCAAATATTGGTTATACTATAGGTCCAAACGTTTACAGATGTTATCTAATTGCACTGTCCCAGCAAAAGCATACAGTCTTTAAGGGACCCAATCAGGGTGTGAACCTAGATCTTTCTGCCACCTAGATCAGGTGCCTAACCACTGCACCCTACTGTTCCTTCTCTGGTGGAGCTCTTGGTGCAGTGAGGATGGCTACCATGCACTGTAAGAAATGCTGAAAAGAGCTGTGGGCCCAGAGCTGTGAGAGCCCAGAAGAGAAAATGTCTAATTCTGCCTGGGCCTTAGAAGTCCACGATGGTGTCTGTTTTCCACCTTGGCAAGGGGTCACGACCTCTAGATTCCTTAATATGTTGGGGGACCCTGCCTCAAAGATCCAGTGGCCTGTTTCTCAAGTAATAATGACTTAAGAACCCCAAATCTGCTTGTTTGCAAAGGTAACTGTCTGCTCTTGCATCCAGGTGAGTCATTGCAGGCCCTGGGACATTCAGACTCCTTTGTGGGACACATTCTAGCTGGCAGCTGGAGAAGCACATAAGCAGAGTGTTCGGCCAGCCTGGGGCAGATGTGTACACTCACCTTCCGGGCGGCTCTCTCCCTGTTTCACACAAGACTTCTCTGCAGCAACACCTTCTTGCTGGGAATGCCTCAATTTCAGAGACCTTGCCTTATTCAGGTCTGTACCTCTCGCATCGAGCATATTGCAGATCCTCGGAGAATGAACACATGAATAAATGAATGAAGAAACCCCAGCCTGCAGCTAAGCCGGGCTACCTGGAGAGCTGGATTCTTTGCATTCTATTCTCAGCTCTTTTCTGTCCCTGCTTCTGGTTGCCATGGTTCACTCACATGCCTGGCCTTGCAAGGACTGCACTACTCTCATCCTCTTCCCAGCATCTGAAACACTGGGGTTTGACTTTAATTGATGCTTCTTTTTTTTTTTTTTTTTTTTTTTTTTTTGCGGTACGCGGGCCTCTCACTGTTGTGGCCTCTCCCGTTGCAGAGCACAGGCTCCGGACGCGCAGGCTCAGTGGCCATGGCTCACGGGCCCAGCCGCTCCATGGCATGTGGGATCTTCCCGGACCGGGGCACGAACCCGTGTCCCCTGCATCGGCAGGCGGACTCCCAACCACTGCGCCACCAGGAAAGCCCTTGATGCTTCTTTTAATTCCGTGAAATGATCTATATCTTCCTAGGTTGTAATAATTTTCCTTCACTCAATTTAGAAGCTTATGTGCAAAAACAAAAGCTTATGGCTTCCAGTGTGTGTCTGAAAGGTCTCTTGATCCGGAAACAAACAAGACCTTTTTTCAGCTGAAGGACTGATGAGAGTTTCTATCTCTAAGTGGAAGGTTCATCCCAGTAGCCAGTTATAGCTGACCTTTTCTTTTTGGGGGTCTGGGGACCCGGGGCTATACAAATCTTTGCATTTGCATGCTTTACAATTCACAACAGGTTTTTTTATTAAAAAAAAAAAAAAGCTCCCATTGATCAACATATGCAGAGCAGGTATTATCCCTATTTCAAAAGAGTAGCTTTTGAAGCCAGAGTCACACAGCTTTAAGTGGCAGAGTCAATCCATGACTCTGAATCAGTGCATTTTCCACTTTTCCTTGGAACTAAATCTTTCCCAGAGCTGTGGGTTCCACTGAGTGGGTGGGGGCCAGGCACAGGGAGTCTGACTTCCTGGCTCTCGCCTCCCTCGTTTCCAGGATTCACTATCATCCCTTAATTTTCAGGTTTTGGGTCTTGTAAAATGTTATGAATTAGACAATTAGAAGCCTAATCCTGGAACACATTTTCAAATTCCTAGCCTTTGGGTAATTGGATCCTCTGCCTTCACATTCAGCCAACACCCACGACCACACCTTCAGCAGAGCCCTGGGTAGGGGTGCAGGGAACTGCAGGAGATTCTGGTCCCAGAACAACTTTTAAATGATGTCAGACAAAGACCGCCACAGACACACGCTTCAAATAGTCTTAGGTCACAAGCACCTGAAATACCATGGTATTTTATAGGGGGCACAAAAAGGGGGCTAAGAAAGTATGCAGCTTCTAGAAGATGAGATGACAGAAAGTTACAGTGGAGGTGACAAAGCACTCTTAAAATAATGATACCAAACACTGCATGCATACAGTGCCTGACAATGTTATAAGCTTTCGCATATATATCATTTCATATAATTCTCAGAATAACAGCCTTATCAAGCGGCAGAGCAGACATTAGGATACCAGTTTAAGAAGTTAAATCTGAAGCTTGGGGTTGAGGTCTTCTGATCCCAAATCCAGCTCCCTCATGAAAATCAGGACCAATATGATATAAGGTTATTTCAATTTTTTTAAAAGTCTATAGTCCAAGTTACATGCTTCTGCCGCTTACCTGTGTATGCAGGAGTTTACTCTCCTGCAAATTCCCCCTTGATTAGTTCTGGGAGTCCCTAAGTTCTGGGAGTCCCTAAGAGGTTTCTCACATGCGTTCAGCAAGAAGACCACTCACAGAAGTTTTGCTGCCGGTGACTGTTCCAGTTCTGGCTGGACCCCATGAAGGTCACAGCACCCTAGGCCACTGATCAGGACCCACCCTAGCACTGTCGTTGCCTCTCTGGAGCTGTGCTCTTTCCTGCAACTTCATCAGACCCACCAGTTTCTGCTAGTACTCGTTTCCAGTCCTCAGGCTGTCAAGGATATCTGGTGCTCTGTGGCAGTGTAGGGGACCTCCCTCTTTGTGGAATCATGCTTTGTCAGAGACTCCCAAAGCAGTGTTGTTATGACTGCAGTGTGATACAGGGGTTAACTGAGCAGCTATGTCAGTTTTTATGTATCCGGGGGTGACCTTGGGACAGGTGCATTTAACAGCCACAGAGCTCTACTGGATTCCACTGGGTGTCTCCACAACAGGGCTGTCTATCAGTCAGTCTGAACTTAGGAACCAAATGGAGTGAAGTACATTTTCAGTTAAAACTTTGTTGTTCAAAACTAAAGACTCAAGCAGATTTGGGTAGCCCATCATTCTTCAATACCTAAGTGCTCTTATTTGGATAGATGGGAACGCTAGTCATAAGCCCTCTGATATGTCAGGCTTGTAGTTGTAGGCACAAGTGATCCAGTGACATATAAGGTGGACGCAATTCCTACTCTATTGGATCTTACCCTCTGGAAGGTCAAGGTCATAGCACCAAGTTCTTTGTTTATCTAGGATGACTTCTTTCCTGGGAGACTTATCTGGATTGTTCACTCCCCTCCTACACACCTCCCTACCATCTCACCTTCCCAACTTGCAAGTAAACATTGTTTTAATTAAATTTTTATTCTGAGATGATTGTAGATTCATTTGCAGTTGTAATAAATAATATGGAGAGATCCTGTGTACCATCTACTTCATTTCCCCCATCTTGTAAAACGATGGTACACTACCACAGTCAGAATTGACATCAACACAGCCAGACACAGAAAATTTCCACATCCACCACAAGAATCCCTCATATCACTCTGGCATAGCCAACTCCACCTCCTTCCCCCATCCCTGATCTCTGGCAATCTGTTCTCCATTCCCGTAATTTTGTCATTTTGAGAATATTATATAAATGGAATCATACAGCGTGTGCCTTTTTGGAATTGACTTTTCTTCACTCAGTGTAAGTACCTAATTATCTGGAGATTCACTGAAGTTCTTTTATCAATAGTTCATTCCTTTTTATGGCTGAGCAGTATTCCATGGTGCAGATGTGCCATACTTTGTTTATCTAGTCACCTACTGAAGGACATCTGAGTTGTTTCCAGGTTTTGATTATTATGAATAAAACTGCTCTTTATAGGTTTTTATGTGAATATAAAATTTCATTTCTCTGGGACACATGCCCAGCAGTGCAATTGCTAGGTTGTAGGGTAGTTGCAGGTTTCGTGTTGTAAGAAGTTGCCACATAGTTTTCTAGAGTTGTGGGACCATTGTCTGTCACCACTAGCAATGTGGGAGGAATCCAGTTTCTCCACATCTTCATCAGAAAGTAAACTTTTAACTGACTACCCCACCAAATCACCAGACCCTCCCAGACAGGTTGAAAGTCACCCAGGGGGCACAGCCTGAGATTGTTTATTTGTTTGTTTGTTTCTTCCAGAGGGCTCTTTAGACTCTGTGCAAATTTGACTTCTACCCAGCATGTCCCACCGTTTCCCTGGACATGTCCAGACATGCCTGAAGCCTCAGAGGGGTCAGCAAAAACTGTCAGCTCAAGCTACATGTCCCTCTGCATATAGTGAGATGTTTAGGGGTTTTATCCCCAGAGCCTCTTCTAAAGAACTGCCCCTCCCCATATCCCCTGCTGGGGAAAGGTAGGACCCAGATACCAGTTTGTCCCCATCCACCGGACCCAAGGGAGGCTGTCTGTGACTTGTGTAGAGTCAATCCCATTCTTTCCCTTGGTGTCTACTATGTGTCAGGCACTGTTCTAGGTGCTGTAGATAAAATAGTGAACCATTGGGATTTCCCTGGCAGTCCAGCAGTTAAGACTCCATGCTTCCAATGCAGGGGATGTGGGTTTGATCCCTGGTCAGGGAACTAAGATTCCCTATGCCACATGGTGCGGCCAAAAAAAGAGAAAAATATGAAGGGGAAATAGACAATAAAGAAGCAGGACGATTTCAGATGGTGATAAATACAACAGAGCCTACACCCAGGGCAATGTGATAGAGTCTCCAAGGAACTCAGCTTTTTCAGTATTAGAATTCCTACTTTTTTTCAAAGCTAATTATTTATATTTTTTTCTGTAATATGTTTTCTGATCCTAAGATCCCAGAGTTGACTTTTGCTATCAACAATTCCTTTTATCCGTTAAAGATCATTTTATAATTTGGTTTTTTGAATTAAAAAACAATTCGCCAAATAGGGAATGGGGCACTACAGATGCAGTGAAAATACTTTCTTCTTTAATTTCAACACCATATTTTTGTGAATACAGCCAAAGACTGCAGGCTTTTGGAAGGTTCTGTTCTTGTCCATTTCTTGTTCTGTGAATTAATATTCCCAGGTCCTTTCCAAGCAAATACTGTAAAGTCAAACCCCTCACATCCTGTACTAACTAGTTCCAAGCTATTTACGTAGATATACATCAAACTTGTTAGCCTCAGCCTGCCAGATATTTCTGCCACTTGAGTCTGTTTTGAACAAATCAGGCATCTACCAGGCATCAGGTTATCTGTGAATGTGATAACGTGCACTCTTAGATCAAATTTCATCTTCAGGTGTTAAGAGTACAGAACATCGAGGCACGCTTGGCCTTCAGACCGGCATAGTCCACTTATACTCTATGGGCTTAGTTGCTCAGTGAGTTAGGAAGTCATCTTAGGCTTCCCCATCTTGCCCATGAAAGCATTACCCATGAGAGCTTTGATAAGATATTTTGCTCAGATCAAGCTACGGTACATTACCTGTTTGGTAATCCCATCAATAAAGCAAATGAGAGTTTGATGAGACTTGTTCTTAATGATCCCATGTTGGTTTCCAGCTTTTCAGTCCTGTTTGTAATATTACACCATCTGCCTCAAGCAGTTAGCCTAGACTTTTTCTGGTTCTTCCTGCTCTGAACACGACTGAAACAAAAATCTTTGCTGTCCTTAAGCTTCTTGAAATCTCGGCTTCTTCTGACATTGGTCTTTGGTGTTCCATCTTTTGTGCTCATGTTTATAACATCTGAGTGCCCTGAGCAGCCAAATTGTTAACTTCCATGTATTATTTTTGGCATGTTC